TATTCCATTTGATTTATAGAATAATGGGGTGACAAATGATGACAAAAATAAACTTTTACTGCACTGAACTGCTCCTTTATTTATGAAATTTGGCCAAGTAGTGAAATCTTTTATCTGCAAGTTGTAACATGGAGTGGGAACGAGCGATTATGGTGTGGTAATAGTAATCCAGCGATGGAGGCTGAGTCAGTTGGAAATGGATTGAGGTAAAATAACTACCGCACCATGATAAATGTGAACAGCGCTTTGCTGACAGATGATCTAACAGGTGTTCATAACAACTATATAAGAGGATTTATTTATGACCAGCCACAGCCGCAGCACTGTAAATCAACTCCAGCAGCTGCACACCGCTGAAACCAAGTCCCCGATGGAGCAACGGCGCGAGAGCCCAAAGAACACAATTCGCTCCAGAATCTTAATCATCAAATAATATTTTTTTTAGGTAATTATACCACAGCACAGAAATCATAATTACTTTCAATTAGAAAACTGAGCTGTCCATAACTTTGTTTGCAAAATATTTTACTTAGGCCCTATGGTTTTAATGAGGCTCGAGAAAAATGAAGACTCTGGGGTCAAGGAAAGAGCGTCCTTGGGTGATGGGGATTTCCGTGTGATGCCAGTTAGAGGCCCTTTCACACTGGCTCTATTTTTTAAGGCTCAAAAATCAAACTTTAAGTTGGGAGGATTCTTCGTTTTCCCCACTGCATCAGCCTCTGCCTGGCAGCATGTTTGAGTTCATACCTTACCCTTGGTTGCTGCTCCTAATTTTATACACAGTTTATTGATAAAAGGGAATAAGCATTAAAAAAGGACTTAGAAATGGGGTTTACATGTAGGTCGAGGGGCCTAGCTTCATACAACCTTTTTTAAACTACTTTGTAAAGGCAGAGTTTAACATTTTTCTTTTTGTAGGTCATGGTCTTAACAATTCCTTACTCTTATCCATGGAGACGATAGCCCTTATAAAATAGGAGTCCGCATCACATTGCTATGAAAAAAAGTGGTTCTTACAAGGGGGTGAGAAGAAGATGCTCTTCTAGGGGGGAAATCAGAATCTCAGTTGGGTACAGTTTGAGAAAGCAAATGTCTTCTACCTCCCTCCCCCGCTGTCTCCTGATACTTTCTCCATGGCAACCTGTCCCTCCCCTCCCATTCCGGGTCAGTTAATGAGCAGGACTGTGAAGGTGAGGTTTCCCTGTTCTCTCCAAGTGCCTACGTGGCATCTGCAGTTTCCAATGCCTGACATGAATGAGCCTACTGGCAGAATTATCTACTGGTTAGGTCTTGTAAACATCTGCAGATATCAGGATAAAGATTCTCCTAGATTTAAAACCAGATCTTTGGTGTCTCTGGCCCTCAAGTTGTAGCTGAGGAGTCAGTGTCTTTGTTATTAAAGACAGTTTGAGTCAGTTGTAATAATTCCATACTTGAGTTCTGAGGGTTTGGGGTCTTCTGCGTACATATTTACTGAATCAGATAGGAATTATATGTACAAGGGACTATGTATGTAAAACTGGCTCCAGGGGAAGATTAGAAATTTTAGTATCACCTCAATTCACAATCATTTAACCAGTAAAGATACTAATGTAATTTAATATCCTTGAGCTACTTTAAGTCTGAAAAGCCTCATTTTAGAACCTGCAGTGGCACAGGAAATAACTAAAATCCCCAAGGAAATATCTAAAATTGGCCTACAGGCAGTAGAGTAAAACCAACAAGGCCCGTTTCTCCTGATCTTCTAGTTCAATGGCTCCCAATGGTGGAGGTGCTTCGGGGGAGATAGAGACTGGGTGAGAGGGGAAAGAGGGGAAATGAGGGCAAGGAGGGGAAGGGGGCACCTCACTTTCTGGTGTGTCGCCAATGTTGCTTCCTGTAGAAAAGTATTTTTCCTTTCTCCTTTCCTCAGCTAAGAACAATATATCCTCCCTTGTCCCACTGCTGGAAACTCCCTTTTCTCTTCAAATGCCACCCCACTTTTAAGACCTACAGTTTCACTGCCTTGGTTGAAACTTCTCAGCCCTCTCTAGCCCACTGATCGCTTTCAAACAGCTATGTTCAAGTTTGCTGGTCAAGTGATCACGTGGCGTCTAAAATATTTTTCTTCAGAAAAAAACAATTACATCTGGTGGTTAGCTTCCCAGCTCAGATCATAAAATTCTGCTTACTCCATAACGCAGGTGAAAAGTGGTAGGACAAAAATGAGCAATGTTACAAAAATAGAGAGTGAAGCATTCATTCCGATGTATTGACTGCTGTTTGTCAGGCAGTCACATAAAGAAAGGAGATGGAGACTTTGTGAAGATTCAGAAAAACATTTTCTGCTCCATCCAAGGGTGCATTTTTCCATTAAACACAATTTCCATTCATCTAAGTCTATAACTAATGCTATCATAAACTTCATATCCTTAGTTTTTTTCCTGCTCCCTCAAATTCTCAGGAAGAGAGTGAAAGTGATCATGAAAACTTTTCCTGAGAAAGCTGGTCAAGTTGGAAGGCGAGGGAAGGAGAGAGAGGATTTAAAAAAGGTAAGCAAGTACAGTCTTCCGATGATCTGCCCTCAGACTGAAGGAAGGACAGAAGTGTGCCCCGTGGCCGCTCCTGAGAGGAGGGCGGCGGTGAAGAGCCAGTCCAGCACGTCTCTGGGGCTGATCATGTGACACTGCTTGACATGGCACAAGAAGGAAGTGGGAGGGCGTGGAGGTGAGCCTGTATTAGCATGTAAGCGAAAATCTGTTTGCACACTTAGGCAAGTCCACATTGCCATTTCTTTGCATCTTGCCAATTAGACTGGAGGTTTCTTGTGAGGCAGGGGGTGTGTACAGAGTGTATCTCATATTTTGCCATCTCCCTGATGATGCCTACTGCAGTTCTTCACATCCACAGTGGATGCAGTCTTTACATAGGAAGGGAATAGTAAGACTCTCTTAATTTTGTGTTGTATAACATACGGCTCTTTTTTGCCTCTCATTATGTGAAAAGAGGATTTTTTTTTTCCCACTTAAACAAGGTTTTTTCTAAAGTCAGAGAGATTACAGAAAGGGAACAAAGGGGAAAGATCATAGGTTTTCCTTTAGCTGGTCCAACATTTTTTTTAATCCCCCCTTGTTATTCATCATTCTGGATTCTTATCTTCTGTCTATAATACCTAAATTCTTAACAATAGGAACACAGATTATAAGGACAAACTTTTTATAAGCTGTTATAAAGTTATGCATGTTTGCAAATAGTTATTAGGAAGGGCAAGTATACAGTATTTTAATTTGATAAGTTCATTGTTAGTCTCTTTGGAATAAAAAACATCTCCTTATCTTATAATAAATAAAGCAAATGTATTGTGATACCAAAAATGAGGCTCAGTGTGAAATATACTAGGAGAGCCATTCTTCAAGATTGGTGTATCTAAAATGTCCCATAAAGTGAACATTAAAATGAAAAAATATAGCTAGAATTAAGAATTCAACATTGACTAACCCGACTCAATGGAACAATTTGAAGATAATCATGGATTATGATAAAGTAAAAGGAAATATGAAGCAAGGAACTCTGAATCACTGTACCAAAAAAGAAGGAAAAAAACCCTTCAACTTGAAACTTTGGTCATTTTTCTGACTTCATTTATATAAAAAGTATTTCAATGATATTAAGCTATCAATGTTAAAATGGTCTGAACTGGTAGTTTACACTGTTATTGATATATACATACTATTATATATGGTTCATACTACATTATATTATTTACTTAATATAGGTATTAAATCTAAAACCTAGCATCCCCAAAAAACTTATTCAAAAGTAAAGTCCTACCGAAATGTCCTTAGTTTTAAAAGAATACAAATGTGTGACCTATTTTCATAGATGAGCACCCTAATTTAAGGAAAATCTTCTACATCACAACATACACTTTTCCTTCTACCTAATGACAATAAGTATGTTTTATTCTCCCTAAAACGGCCTGCCAAATTCTGTATAACATTTCAAAAAGCTGTTGACATAAAAATTCAAAGCCCTGAGAAACAAGATTAATAATGGAAATACCAAGAGACTGCAACTAGAGAGGTGCTTCTGGGTGTCAGTATTACCACAGCATCTAAGGCTCCAGAGGGAAGTGAAACATGTGGCTTCCATGGCAATATTTCCCTTCACTCAGATTCACTGCTGTATTTTGGGAGCAGGAAAATTTAACAATCTTGCTTACTTTCTCCGTTTCACGAACTTGAAAATTTAAATAATTTTTCCACAGTCTGTTTTGTTCTCAATATGTACGTCCCAAGAATGTTTCATTCTTTTTTCCCCCTTTGTACATGTTCCATAATGTCCCAATGCATATTCTCTTCCTTTTTACTTTTTAAGAATCATTATTTATGCGGCTCTATATAAAGGGAACTGACTGGCCTACACTATCCTAAAGGCCCATTACCTTGTATCAGAAAGGTAAATAAAATTACAACTGGTTTTAAAAAGGTATAAAAGTGGAAAAGTTTTCTGACTATAGAACTATCTTAATAAATAAAAACAGTAACTTGCCTCTTTAGCAAATAAAATAAACACTCCAGGGAAAGATGCTAATATTTTGATCATATAACTAGTTTTTAAAATTTCTACAATTAAGTTTATACTAGTTTCCATTAATGTTGGGCATCAAGATTTGTAAAGAAAAAAATGAGATTTAAAAAATTTATTCAGCAGTTATAATAGACCTTGTAATCAGATCTCTACTAACAGACTGAAATTGCACAGAAAGATATGTTTTATTTTACAACATGAAGATTTTTATTTTTATTATTAAACACACCAATTTTTTTCCCTTGGAGTTAACTAGTCTATAACAAATTTGGAAAATTTACCTGGCTTTAAAGTGATTTTTCTTTCACTAACTTAACCCTATTGTTTCTCTGCATAGAATAACATTCAAAATACTTACTTTAGAATAAAGAAACCTTGACATATGAACCTCAGGATTATAAATAGTTTCTTATTAAAAATGCAAAGACAAATGCTATTCATATGCTAGTTTATTTATCTTATTATTCAGAGATAATTGCATGGTGACAGTTGTAAATAAACAATTACAATACTAGGAAATTCAAAGAACAAAATTTTGCAGAGACCATGTTTTTGCATTTGATTCTAAAAAGTATGCTATCTCATTTTCACATACCAAGCTGAGAGGCCATTTAGACTATTTCTTTGCTAATTTTGGCTTACTGCTGAAGGGAAGATGATTTCCAATGAACCTTAAATATCCAATTCATGCCCATCATTGCCAAAAAAGAGAAGAAAGACGAGAAGGCCAAAAGAAGTAGCAGGACAGAGAAAATGCCACATGGATTCAAGAGTTGAGATAACTGACAGTAAAATATATGTTCTTTGGTTAGCAAAGCGAAAAGGGGGAAAGTATTGCACACGTGATAGATACACACTAGCATTCTAAAGCAGGAGACAAGAATGTCAAGAGTGTATTCTTCCCCCACTGCCAGATGGAAGAGCTATTATTATAAATGAAAGGCAGCAGTAGTGGATGCCAGGCACTTTTGTTGTGTGCCAGATTCCGAAGTCCAGATGTAAGCAGGTTACCCCTGGGACAGGACAGGCTTCAGCTCCCGCAGCAGAACAGAACCAATCACAGTTTTCTCAGTGTTTATGATAAGCTGGGCTGTCGAGCCTTCCTTCAGCTCCACTGTGAGTAGCATCAATGACCCACTGTGCACAGTTTTAGCTGCAAACCTGGAAGAAAAAAGAGAAACCTTTTATCATGAGAGGGGAGAAAAAAGAAGATAGCATACATTCGAATAGGTTTAAAGTAACTCCTTTTTCTCAAATGAAATAATTTGGCACAGGGTCCCTACTGCCAAAAACCCAAAGCCAAGCATTCTTCTGAAAAACCAATAAAATGTCCAGTTCATGCTTACCACAAGCAGGTAATTTAAGTACATCTTTAAAACAGAACAGGAAAAAGAAGTCTTTTTATTTATTCACTTGAACAACACATGCATGTGAATAATTCTCCATTATGACACAGGTATTTGGGAATAATTCATTCATTTGATATTTAACATTTCATCATGCACAGAGCCATTTAAATTAAGTTACTATGTGTTCATGTTTAAAACATGTTAAGAAAAGGTATCTTTCTCAAAGTGCTTGAAATTTTAATCCCTCATATCTAAAAGTGATTATGCAAGAAGTTAGATAATTTTATGTACATTATAAAATTCTTACTAAGTTTCAATAAATTCACTCATGTAAAACTATTCAAATTCAATCTCTAATGTTAGTGATGACATAAAACAAAATCACATGACAGCCTTGCTTTTTTTTTTTAATGTTAAGAACATTAGCTCCTTTTTGCTTTAGAATATAATAGAGGAAACTTGAGGTCTAATGCTCTATTACTAAATTCCAAGACATGAAGAACCTACTAATTACACGGAATTAAAAGCAAAACTAGCCTTTTAAGCACTGCAATTGACTGAAAAGCCGTTGGAGGCACAATGAACTTCTGTCAATCCTGCTAATTCATTCTGCATGCACAGTTGAGCCCCAGAGACGTGAAGGAAAAGAAAAGGCACCTCCCAAGCCTCCATTTTCCACATGGAGCATGTTCCACACATTTTGCAGGGGAGGGGGTTTGGATGCAAGGATGACTGGAGAAAAACAAAGTTGCTGCACATGAGCTTTTGAAAACACTAACAAGTGTAGAACAGGTCTGTGACCTGCTGTGACCCCACTTTGCAGGGCCAATCCCCTTGCCCCTTTCTGTATGACACGTGTCTGAATCTGAGCCATCTGCCTCAATTTGCACAACATCTTCAGCCACAATGGCACCCAGTTAGCCCTGACAACAGCTCACAATACATAAAAATAAAACTACCGCGCTGACAGCACGCTGCGGACTATTCAAGAGCAAACCAACTGGTCAGTGTCTCATGTCTGACAATTAGCATGGGCCTTGCACAGAGCCCACGGTGTCCTTAGGGATCTGTTTAATTACCATCAACATAAAAGAGGGAGTTTATCAGGAGACACTCAGAAAAAACTTCACTCCCGACTTAATTAAAATATTAGCCACTTAAGCAGGAAGCAGATTCTCTTTAAATGAAAAGTAATTTCTTTTTTGAGTTTTTTTTCTTTTAAATGACATCAAGATCTCATAACACATTAGATCCATTTTTTTTTTTTTTTTTGAAACCTAACAAGCCATTTTTGGCCTAAATAGAATTATAAAAATTGGTTTTCCAACAATAATTAGAATAATGCATCAAAGGCAAAACAAATATGCTAATTTTACTAAACTGAAAATATCAACGCTTTGAAGTTGTGTTTTAAAATGTTAGCTAATGGGTTGTTGACAAAGTATGCTATTAACTCTCCTAGTCATTTATTTGTGTACTCTACAAACATGCTGAAATCTTGCAAAGAATCTGAGAGAGCAGTTTTCCTACTGAGAGAAGAAATTGTAAGTAACCAGTTTAGTAATAGAAATCATACCGATGTTTTTTAAAGAGGTTTTTATAAAGCTCTTACCATACATATCCTTCTGCTTTTCAGACGTACACACAAGAGATGAGGAACTGGGTACCTCAATTTCATCTTTGAGAGAACACGAAGATCACAAGCCCCAAAATGACCTCTCTTTTTCCATCCTTCCTTACAGGTTTATGCATTTCTTTTGTCTAAATTTTTAAGGCTCTTTTCCTTCATAGGAGAATGCTGTCTCTTTATTTCTGTTAAATCATGTCACCCAAAAGATATGAGGTGGTTCATTTTCCCATTCATTTATGCAACTTTTCCCACAGATTTGGTCATCATGTCTGTAATTCATTCAGCAAATATTTCAACACAGTTCCCTATTTCTGACAGGGTTCTAATTATGTAAACAACAGTCTTATTAGTACCTTTATTTACTTAACACTTGTGCCTTGGGACCATACAGAAGGAGATAATATCTGAACAGGAACACAAAAGCACTGTTGTTTGAATTTCAGGGTTGCATAGCCCCAAGGCACATTTTATCTCTTTTCTATTAAAAACTTAAGAGTGAATGTTACAATAAAACAAACTCTGGCAGAGATAAATGTCAATTTTGGTGTAGTATGTTTACAGAGATTAAAATTAGTGTCTTGTACAGGTTTTTGAAATCCTATCACCACAACATTCTCAGTACCATAAAGAACATAGAGGCATGAAAGAAAAGAGGCATTTGCTGAAGCTGCAGTAGAAACGCGTTAAGCAAATCATCCCAGCAACAAGATCTGTTAGCTGGTGTAAAAGCTATTGCCTCTTAACCAGGTCTCTATGTTCTAGTGGGCACAAATAGTGGAAGCAATGTTTTAAAGCAGAAGACTAAAAGATCAGATGTTCTGACATTCTCATTTCACAGTTCAAAAAGGATGTATTTAATTGGAACACAGCATCATTACAATTGGTTTGTTTTGGTCCATGGAAAGCAAAACCACCCCCAAATTTATTAATCATTTAACTCCTGAACAGGCTATGCTTTAACACACATTTAAAAGATAGTTATGTAAAAGAGTTAGTTAATAAATGATAAATAGCTAGTTTCTGGATATAAGAAACATTGAATATAACGTCAGCTTGGGTCAAATACTTACACACTAAACTTAATGGCTAACATCAGAACCTCTGTACTCGGCCTCAAACTATGATCTCATTATGACAATAAATATTTCAGAAGGCATGAGAAGTTTTTGATCGCCATAACAATGATAGCAGCTACCATTTATTTAGTGCTTACTGTGTGTCTGGCAGTGGGTTCCAAGTACTTCACCTGCTTTATTTCATTTGATCCTGTGAGGCAGGTCCCTTTTCAGATGAGGGAACTAAGGCCCACAGAAGTCAAGGAACTTGTTCAGGGACACACAGCTAGTGAATGGTTGAGCACAAATCTGAACCCAAGCAGTCTGATTCCTGGTCACACACATTCTCTTAATATGTACAAAGATGCACCCTTAAAATCTGTTTTTATCAGTTGACAGATAAATTAAGGGATTTCCTATTTACCTAATATGCATATAATCTATTACTGTTCCAAACACTTTAAGGAAGATTTTTCCCTTCAAAAATTATATATTTGACTTTGTAGTATTCTGTAATTCAAAGAATCTTGACTTGATTTTTGTCATATTTTAAATTTCTGCCTTTAAAGATTTTTAAATATCCCCTACCCCCAACTCCCTCAAGAGTCACCAGCAATGAAAAAAACAAAACCTTTCTGAATGGAGCTGTAACATAGGGAGGGACTACTCGGAGACCAATCAACCTCAAAAACCAGTAACACCACAAATGAGAACAAATAAGTGGGATGACAGTTAAAGATGTATTGCCTATGTATGACAGGCTCCAAGTTATTAAAAAGATACCATCTAGGTATTTTTCATAATTTTTCATTTTGTTCTACCACCAAGCACTTGCTGCTTGTAACCACCAACTGAGAAGGCAAAACTGTCTGGATATATCTGTATTTCATCTTATTAAATGTCTTTTCATCTATTATTTCTAGCAATTGACTTTAATACTTGAAGCCTATAAGAATTCTTAAGATTAAAAAAAAAAGAAGACACAATAAGCTGGTTGCCAAAGCAAATGAAAAAAATCTTTCATTCTTAAAAACTTATTATGTCTTAACTATTGTCAGAATTATAAAAACAGGTCAAACAACAACAAATTTGAACAAATATATTACCAATAATATAGAGACTTATTCCCTCATGCACTTAAACCACACTTTTTTAGATTCATGAGAAATTGGCTATGGGTCATAAATGCTCTGTGTTAAAAGAAAAAAAAAATCCTACAACTCAATTGTTCTAACAATTAAAATGTTAATAGTACAGCATGAATCTAAAAATATTTATCTGAGAGTCTGCATCAACCTCCAGGGTGTTCACAAACAAAATTTTTACTCAGAGTCAGATTTGCTACACTTAATGCAACAGCTCTAAGACATGCTTTTTCTTCTCTTGGATAGTCTTCCTGGTTTCTGATTTTTCTATTCTGAGTTCAATTTTCTTGTGCTTTCTGTTCTACTGGTTACCAGAAGCTGTGACAATGGCCCACTCAGGCTAAAACTTTTTTTTTCCTACTCTGTACATGAAGCCTTCAATTACTGCCTGCTGAAGCAGACAGAATCCTATTAGTAAGAAAGACGATCACAAGATGCAGTGCCCTGCCCTAGCTGTATAAAAATAATTAGTCCAAAGTTGACAAATGTGTAATGAAGTCGCACAATCATTATATGTAAGAAATGCTGGTTTGAATAAGCCTCCTAAACATCAATACCAAAGCATGATGACTTGAAGCATTATCTTCCAAAGGATTTAAAATTGTAAATCCTTATTACCTTGAGTTAATATACTAGAACATTTTAAACAGGCAGAGAATTTGCAAGTTGTAAAAAATTCCATTTTGTTGACTATAAAATTGTATTTTAAAGCTTAAGCCCATTACATTATTGAATTAATAGTGAGAAAAAAAATTTACATGTGATTCAGGTTTAGAGAATTTATTCAAAGCAATGTATGTTTCCCTATTATCTTTTTTAAATTGACCAAATTTTCCTCTAACATTCAGATAAGAGATAAAACCAAAAATAAGCTACCATCATAATTTAGGGCTCTATTTTCTATTCTAATCTTTAGAGATGGTATAAAAAATTATTCCACACACTATCAGGCCAATGATGCAGTCTCCTTCTTTATACGAGA